TGCTCTCTATCTAGCAAGTGATGCGCCCTCTGCACCCCCAGGCCCTGCTGGCCTTCGATGGGTCATGACTAAGCAACTTCGGAGCATTTCAATCAAAAATTGCCTATAAACTAATATAGACTATATAACACTCGTTCACAGTGTGGCGGGGCAAGCGTGGCCGTGGCGGTGTACATGTGTGTTGCAAACGCCGCAACCACATCTGCACGCGCATTTATCCAGCGAAATCTGTCGCACAAATCAATCAGCGCGAAAGAAGCTAGACACGAACATTAGCGCACCCTTCCCGGTCAAGCTAAACATAGCATTTCCCGTCCATCCATCTATTTAGCATTATTCCCCTCTACTGCAAACGCCTCTCCAGTGCCTGCCATCGAACTACGTCACATCTACAATCATCACCGGTGCTGGAGATCCACCAATCCTTCCGACTACCTCCGCTCGACCCTGCCACACCACCCCGGCCCAAGTTCTTACATTACAACCCACACACAATGTCGCTTCTTTATCTCACCTCCTCTGTTTCCTGCAACATCCGTCTTAACTCATTCTTACCCATCTGCTCTTCTCTCCGAACTCTCGCTTCTCGCCATTTGCATGTCATTCCTCCTCCAACCCTGCGAGCACTCCGCTTGTCAACCAAGCCCAGCTTCTAACCAACCTTACAATGTCCTCGGCACGAAAGGCAGGCCAATACACCACGGTAATATTTTGCCGCAAAGACATCCACGACACCCGCAACTTTAACGTGCGGCTACACGATATACCTCTTCTCACTTCGCGCCTTTGTGTATACGCACGCATCTCCGCTCTCTCCTTTTTCACCTCCATTTCCAACATCCACGTCTTCATCATCCTCATATAACCATCGTTCATCTCTAATTACGCAACTCTCCTCGCGCCACCCCTATTACCCGCGACGCCGTCCTTCACCTCGCCTGATCTTTAATGCCGCCTTTTTCCACAATCCTCTCACCTTCACTGCTCCCTCCACTGCTTGAAAAAGCCTCCATCTTGTCACTTGCACTGCAACCCACCACACACTGCCTCTCCCGTATCTCGCCCTCAATTCCAAACCTGTGCTTCCTTCCGCACCCCAGAATCCTTCACCATCTGCTCCATCCCCCGCCCCCCACGCCTATCCCCATGATCCGATGCTAACCACACAGCCCTGCATCCACTCAACGCACCTACTTCACACCTCCCAATATACCCTCACCCCCCCCCCGCTTATACACAAAGAATTCGACAACATACTCCTCTCGTCTCCACACACACACTATACCACACACGCCTGTCTCGCATCCGGTTTGTTTAACCATCGAAACCGCACCTAACCGCGTCTTCCACGCCACTCCCCCCCCATACATCACAACATCACGCTCAACCAGGCCCGCCTCACCTCCCCGTAAGCGGAATACGCACTCCACGCCCTGCCCAGTTGCCCCCACCCATCCTGCCTCACGCATCCTGGATCACACATTCACCCCATGCACTCAAGCTTTGGCATGCCCACCTAGTACTCCAGGCGTAAGCGACTATAGGCTAGATGTAGTACCTGGTGCCGTCAAAAGCATAAGGTTAGTGATAGGCAGCTAAAGCCGCTGTCTTTTGATCAGTTATACAACGCAGGACAAATACGATTAGTCGCCTGCCAATCCAAAAAAAACATGACACTCTGACTGGCGAACGCTGTGTGTTGCTGTTTTCGTACCTGCGCCTATCGCTTGCTCGCGCCCTTGCGTAACGTGTTCGTTTGAGCGGAACCGTCACGCGCCCTTTTTGCTTGCCGTTTCATGTGCGTTTTGTTGCGTGCCGTGCGTCGCGCCGCGCCCGCGCACGTGTTGTGTTTTTCGTCGGTACGCTGCGTTCGCGTCGTGCGTCGGCCCTTCCCCCGTCCGAACAGACGAGAGCAAGAAGAGGCCTTACGAAATGCACAGTGCTACGACATTCTGCAAGATTCCGTAGCACGCGATATTTTCCGCAGCGAAGAATTGCATAATATTACTAGTATAGGGAATATTTAGAGATACCTCGAGATCATAAGCAACAACTATTTGTGTGTTGTGTGTGGTGTGTGGGTGGTGTCGTGCGTGCCCGTTTGCGTCGCGCTCGCCCGGTGAGTTCGCGTGCCGTGCGTGCCGTGCGCTGCGTGCGTGCCCGCGCGTGCCCACAGGCACCTTGACCACCCTTCTCAACCTAAAAAATCACCATCGCCTCAACACTAACATACGAAATCTTATTACTACCCAACAATTTTAATGCTTCGTATACTCCTCCTTTCACCTACCTTATCGCCGACCAGTTTCCTGTACATTCCGTCCAACATGCCCTCATTTGCACACATACCCGCTTCGCCGGCCGCCATCCCTCTCACCGCGGCCCCGCTCGCCCTGCTCTTGCACACTACACTTATATATATACTATTTATATATATTTATACCCTCTCATCATCACTACATCACTCACCCCTCACTCACCCACGCACGCACGCACGTACACACACACACACGCGCGCGCGCGCGCGCACGCACGCACGCACAAACGCACGTGCACGTTCCCTCAAACACGTACGCAAACGCACAAGCATACGCATACGGAAACACACACACACTTCCCCATCAATTCATGTTTTTTTGATTCAGCACTATCTATTTTCCTCTTTATAACTAATCCAAAAACAGCTTACTGCTATCACTACCTTTGCTTCTACCACAGGTAACTACCAGCTACCTATAGTCGACTACCTTGAGTACTAGGTGGTGCCAACTAGTCATGGGAATTTATCCAGAGCTGGCACATTGGGCAACGGCAGCTACTGTATTCCCTTACGGATTACAGTCCTGTTACGGATTTATATGGAAGTACGAACGCTATTCTTTCGCATACAACCGACAACACGTTTCGTATATTTACAAAATTTCTACAATTTTTAAAACAGGTATATAGTAATAAATCTATAGTAATCACGTGTTACATCGATCATGATACGTCATGACAATTAAGATTCTGCGAAAACACAATTTGTAATACATACGAGACATTTTGGTGGGGTGTCCATCAAGTACAAATGACTTTTTTCAACAGCTGAACATGAAGGTGAAATTGGAAAGCCATAAATATCACAGGAAACGCTCGCGAGTATAGTGCTCGGAGGAATTGCTTAATTATAATAACATTAATCATAATGATCAACTATTTGAAACTGATAAAGGTAAACGAAATGCTCGTATACACAAGCGCAATGAAAATATATCGTCTACCACTTACATTCAGTTTCTATCTTTGCAAAAATATTAACTTTATGCCTGCCTTTTTCGTCAAACAAGTTGGCTTAAAACTGGAGCGTGATTACCAACAGAGTGCTCCAGGTGAAATACATCAAGCGAACGAATTCGCGAAACAGAATGGTAAATATTAAACATTTCAACAAGAGTGAATAAAAACACATTTGTTTTTAATAACTCCCGATTTCATCACGAATCTAATATTGGATCATCTTCAACACCGGATGAATTAATGTACGTATTCATGACAGGCACTTGGAGCGTTTCAATAAAATATAATGCTAAATAAATACGAAATCTATTTACTACCAAAGTCTTAATGTTTCTCTACTCTCTTTCGCCTATTATTGTCGACAATTTCCTGATAATGCCGTGCAAATGCTCCTTTGCAACACACATGTACACTGCACGCACGCTGCCGCACACTGACACATATATATAGTCTTATATATATTTATTTAGCATTATATTTTATTGAAATGCTCCAAGTGCCTGTGGTATTCATGACCCCATCTAACACAGCAGCCTGGTGACAGAGGGCGCCATCACTGCTAGATAGAGAGCATGACGGGTGATGTATTAACAGCTACCTGATACAGGTGGGACTAGGGTAGGTATGAGGAAGCTGCATTGTTGACAACTAAGCTTTAGAGCTGCTTGATAATAATGTAGCTGCGGTATCGATGGGTATGTTGTGCCATCATTAATGATGGGGATGCTGGGCCATCATCAATGATGGGGATGCTGGGCCATCATTAATGATGGGGATGCTGGGCCATCATCAATGATGGGGATGCTGGGCCATCATTCATTATGTTTGATGCTGTAGTCACCAATAATAGATAGGGATTCGTGGGACCATCAGTAATTAATGTTGAGATGCTGTACCACACCATCAATGATAGGGAGGATGCCTAACGAGACGAGCGAATCATTAATTAGTGCTTGATATAGCTGGTAAGGATACCAGTCAATGATAGCTATCGCCTGGGAGCCATCATTAATGACGCAGAGCCAATTGCTGCATCAGCATTAATTATGGTTGACTCGCGTGCTGCTAACACCATCGAATAGATAAGGGATGAGGAGCTAGGGCGCATCATTGCAATGAAGACAAATGCTGTGGGACTCGATCCATTGAATTATTGATGGAGACCTGCTGTAAGCACCAGTCCAATCGAATAAAGAGCGCGGACCACGGAATGCCTGGGGCCTATCATTAATTGATGTTACATGACTGAGAGTACAGCACGATCAATTGATAGTGAGGCGGGGCCATCATTAATATACGACAATTGCTGGTCTATCATTAGATTATATGCTTGGATGCTGTAGACACCATCATGATAAGTGATCTGGGGCCATCATCCTATATGGTAAATCAATGACTGGGCGGCCGATTCCATAATTAAGTGTGATAGCTCGTATGGAACACCATCAATGAATAGGTGGATGCTGGGACCATCCATTAATTATGTTGATGGCTGGTAAACACCATCAAGTTAGATAGTAAGCTGGGCCCCCACCTTCATTACCATGAAGACAACTGCCGGGCATCATTAATATATTGTTATGCCGTAACCACCAATCAAGTGATAAGTGATGCTGGGCCATCATTTTAATGGAAGACAATCTGCCGGCAGTTACATTAGATTAGTATTGTGCGGCTGTAGGACAATCAAATGATGTGATGATCCCGCTCTGGACCATCATTCACATGAAGACAATGCGGTTGGCCATCATTAATGGTATGTTGATGCTGTAACAACCATCAAAATGGATAGTGAATGTAGGGTCCATCAATTAAATCGAAGTACAAACTGCTGGGCGCCATCATTGAATAATATGTTGAATGCTGTATCATACACATTCAATTGATAGATGGATCAGCTACGGCGACCATCATTAATGAAAACAAGTGCTGGGGCCCATCATTAAAGTGTGCTTAGATAGCACTGGTAACACCAATCATGATGAGTGGATGCTGAGGCCATCGATTAATGAGACAAAGGATTGCATGGGCCACTCTCATGTAATTATGCTGAGCGTAACACCAATAATGGATAGGGATGCCTGAGGCCCAGACAATTAATATGTTGATGCTGGATAACAGACCATCAAATGATAGATGATTGCTGGGGCCACATCACTACCGACAAAGACATCGCTGGATGTGTACAAGACTATACACTCCGACCTAGATAAAAAACAAAGAACTATAAGTCGCCACGAGACGGACACAGGCGAAGAATTAATGATCCCAAATCTTGCCTTCTCAGAACACATAGTGGTAGTAGCTGGCACTCCATCCCACGGGATAACTCCAGTCCATTCGCATCTGTGACAGGTAGTGACGTAGCTCGCGTGACAGCCGATCAAGGACCGGTCACGTAAGGTTAATGGCCCGCGAACAGAGGCAAATGGTCCGCACAGAGTAATTACCTAGAGGCACGGGCGCTATCTGATGTGAATCCCTCTGCAACCTGAAACAAATAAACAGCACCTTCCATCACCTGCTCTACGAACACAGGAAAGACATCACGTGACAATCAATGATGAGACATATTAATGTTTAACAAAACATGGCATGGCAAGAGGTGACATAATGAACATAGCAGGGCATGTCAGAACAGGGCATACATGAGGGTCATGGCATGAGCAGATGAGCTGACACTAGCGTGTGACCGCGATGATGGTAAATTATAGCTGAATACGTATGTCATGAAGTAGGACGTAAAACTGGCTTACAACGTTTTTATGACTGTGTTACAGCTGGTTAGGCGCCTTAGGTGAGATCTCACATCATCCATTGAGTGTCACCAATCGAAATTTATGTCGACTAAAATAGTATAGGTGCTACACGAGGACACGGATAGAAAGATACTTCCCTAGATCATATATAGATACACACCAGGGGTTAATAATGACAATAATTTTTGTAATGACAATAATAATTTGTCATTATTAACCCCTGATACACACTGAACTTGATTCGCTACTCTGTACCTTGAGATCAATAGTGAAATACCAGGATCCAGGGTCCTCCCCGTGTGAATAGAAGACAAAGAACACCTCTCTTTCTCCCCACTTCATGTCCACTGGCTCAGGGATGCCGTCGCCCAGCGACCACGTCACCAAGGTTACCTCCATCTGTGGCGACATGGTCACTATCATGTGATCAGGACCTAAAAGTGGGAGGAAAATCGTTCGTAGACTCAGTTTCCGAAATGGGTGCCTTCGTTTGTTCATCCAGATGACGAGTGTCATGTTGTCCAGATGACAATGTTGGTAATTGCTAGGACCTGCTAGCTATCACCGTCACGCGATGTCCTGCAGTATGAAAATCGATTTGATTCTATTTGATTTTTTTAATTAATAATTATAATTTGTCATTATAGTACTGCATTAGTTTTAAAACTGCTTTATGCCCTACGACAGTAATGTAGTTCCAGATTTAGACATTTTTTTCTTAAATTTTGATAAGGTATTACCTTTTACTTCGAAGGCAAGTCGCTGAATGTTGCCTGGTAGAGATGTGCGGGACACCAGCCTGGGATTTACATGTATGGACACATGAGGTCCGACATCAGTGGCTAGGTAGTGTGTGTCCCTGCAGGTAACAATCAACGATCGTTACATAAAAATGCTGCACGTGCTGTCAGTATGACAAAGCCCATACCATTAAGCACCAACGAAAATTAGTCGCTTACATTTATGGCAGTATCTATACTGAAATTGTACAATGCCATTTTAATTATCCATTACAAAGTGCTAAACGCTCATTATGTGGGATATATACACACACACGCATGCACGCACGCAACACACACACCCACACGCACGCACGCACGCACGCACGCACGCACACACACACACACACAAACAAACAAACACAAACGCACGCACGTACGCACGCATGCACGCACACACGCACAAACACACACATATATATTTACTTCTCCTACACATTTTTAACAATAATTCTGATGATGATGAGACTCGTTATCACGTACAACTCTCTTATCATGAATATAATTATACAGAATCACAGTAACAGCCACGTTTCACCACCACTGAGTCTAGTCCGTCACCGCACCCATACCTCATCATGCCTGCCATAGGTAAGTAGTATGGCATACCACAGTACATGTGTAGGTCACAGTCTACGAGCTTGGAATTCTCGAGATCGGTGTAGTGAGGTGCGAGAGGAGTGAGCGCGAGATGGTCGAACGATATGTGCCAGATGCCGCAGTCCTGCTCATACACACGACCTGACATGTCGTGAAACCGCCTCTCAATGTGCTGCAAAGAAATCATGCGAAAAACAATAAGTAACAAAGTGCTGAGGGAAAGAAAAACTATTTCATCGGGTGGACTGATTCGACGCTAATCAAAGAATCGACCTGGCGTCCGTTGTACGAATAAATATTGATTCGAATTAATGTTAATAATTTATTCACAAACACAATGCTTTGATACGATACTTGATACAATATATATCAGGGGTTAATAATGACAAATCTTTTATTATTAATCCCTGATATATATGTTGATATATATACAATATCAAGAGCGTATAAAGAAGGTTTTAAGAAGGTATAAAGAAGCTTCTTTATACTCTCTTGACAATATATATATACAATATATATGTTGATACGATATTGATCAGAAGTAGATAATAGGGAATTCCCTATTATCTACTTCTGATATAGATGTTGCTACTTGCAGTATTAGCAGTGTCTAGCGACATGTTAGAGGTGCTGCCACCTAGTGCTGTTGATACTCACATGTATCACGCTGCGCTGCACAGTGGGTTTTAGTGGGTTGCCACTGTAGGGGAAGCCCAGGGGCGTGAAGACTGACAGCATGTAGGTAAACATGGAGAACAGCAGCAGTGCACACATCACCCGCTTGAGGCTCCGCGTCACGAACACCAGACTCAACTGCCGGATAAAAACAGAAACACCACATCGCTCATGCAACCATCGACCATCGATGGACTGCAACGCAGCAGGCAGGTCTACCTGTGCCATATCGTATTACGGTATTATATCATAATATCGATTATCGTATTATATCGTATCATCGGATTATTGATTATAACCGTATTATATATACCGCTTCTATATGTATGATGTTTTTTTTCACTGAATATTTTTGCAAAAAACCCAGTTGATTGACAGTTCTTTCACCACTGAGCTCTGGGGCAAATTTTTCCTGTCAGCTAACAACTTGAAACAACTGCTAACAACGTACAAAGTTAGTCTTGATGATGAGTGAGAATGCGGCAACCATTGCTATGACAACGTCGGGAATGACTTCCGTACCGACTCGGCCCATCACAGGTACGAACATCTGATAGACACCAACAAGCAAGTAGCAAGTAATAAGGAACGGGAACGTCAGTGATGCCAAGTAGAGATAGAAGAAGCCCTGGCCTTTCTCTGTAAAATACAAAACAACTGGTATATTAGTCTTTCCCTCACATTCTCTTCTCTTTGTGTCTCAATGTGTGTGGATGCGTGTGTCGGTCTTTCTCTTTCTTTCTCTCTCTCTCTCTCCCTCTAATTTTTTCATCAAAAGGATAGGTATGAGGTAAAAATAATAATTGTTATGACCACTGGAGCTCTGAACGTTGACCTTCATATCTAGTGCTAAAGCAGCTGATACCCAGTATTCAAATAGACGGTAATTTTTACCGGAAACCGGCTTCTAATGAAAACCCTGCCCTCACACCTTTCCTTCCTTCATTCCCTCTCTCTTCCTCTCGCTCTTTATCTCTGCCTTTCCCTCCACTTCCCTCTCAGGCTCTCTCCCTGCATCTCCATTTACCACTTCTCCAGCTATGAAAATCATACCTTACAAATAAATTTTATTTATACCTCTAAATGCCATTGGCAAAAATGCGATGACTCGATCGCGCATGATCAGCGGGAACATCACCCAGGCTAACGGTATGTAGGAAGAACAGACGCCGTGGTAGGTGAGCACAGAGAGGATGAGCGACCACAGCACCATCGTCGCATCGACGTGTATCGCCTCCAGCTTCCACGCGTCCGTCTCATGCTGCGACACAAGAGCACGGCACACGGGTTACGATTAGCGACGGCGAGGTTTATTAACGATGGTGACGATGTCATCACGATACCGGCAATATAGAACGCACAGATCTTCACACTGCCCGGATACCAGCAATAAAAGATTCTCAATTATTTACACTGCCAAGATATCAACAATAAAAGACTCTCAGATATTTTCACTGCCAAGATATCAGCAATAAAGGACTCTTAAATATTTACAAGACAATAAAAAACATGGCTCACATATGTAGACCACGTTGTATACCCAATATTGCTCACAATGAATTTATACTATGATAAGACTAATTTTATAATAATACCATTCATTATTGCAGCGTTACGGTTTTTGTGCAACCACATACAGTATGAATTCACACACAGCATGCATCCACATACACCACGCGACTACATAAAGCACGCGTACAGTGTGTGAACATACAGAACGTGTACAGCATACATCAATGTACAGTGTGCCGCTACATACTGTGTACATTCACATACGGGCACATCAGCCATGCAGCGCTCATGTCACTCACCTTGAAGTAGAGGTTACGTGCGAGCGCGTGGACGGCGATGGCTGCACAGAGCGCGGGCGCCTCGTACAGACCTCCGATCATGTAGGAGTGAGAGTACCAGGACATGCCGTGTCCCGCAGCCGTCAGCAGCAGTGCTAGCAGCACGTTCACGCCGACCGCCGCCGCCCACGACAGCACGATGACGACGACGGCGGCCAGCAGGTTGCCGAGGAACGCGGCGCCGTGGTAACCTGCGACACACGACGCGGTCAGACGACACCAGGAGGAGTGGGAGTTGATGAGGACGCAGTTATTTTATTTAATTACATTATTTATTTCATTTTTTCATTTTATTTTATTTATTGTAAATACGTATTGCTTTTATTCACTTCCGCTGATATGATAATACAATTTGACGTGATAAGATGACAATAATCTGTATGAGCCACGCCCAAATGTTTCATTCACATTGAATAAGATAGCATGCCAGTGTAGTAGGAGGCTAATTCCTCAGAGAGCCCTCCTCGGGCAAACACGAAATGCTAAACATGGATAAAGTTTCTGCAGAAATATGCTCATGACGTAACCTGCCTACGTAACTCACTGACGCAACCAACCAACCAACCAACCAACCAACCAACCAACCAACCAACCAGGCAGCCAGCCAGCCAGCTAGCTAGCCAACCAACCAACCAGACAACCAACCAACCAACCAACCGGGCAGCCAGCCAGCCAGCCAGCTAGCCAGCCAACCAACCAACCAACCAACCAACCAACTAACCGACCTTCGGTGCTCTTGTCCACCATCTTGCGAGCAATGCCGAGCGCGACCGCCAGCAGGAACAGCATGTTGATCACCATGCCGACGCGCTGCGGATACAGCACCATGTAGACGCCCAGCACGTCGAAGAAGATCATGTTGCCATGGCGATACTCGCCGGGATGCGCGAGGTAGGGAGACGAGGCGAGGTTTCTCACGGTCGCCAGCAGATTCTCACCTGTTGAGGTCGCCACAATAACGTGAGAACTGTAAACTAGCGATTACTGTCTCACTGCATCTGAGCTGTCATTGCATTATTGACAACACTTACAAACTCACTTACAGACAATGTCCCACCAACTCATTGCAGGCTGGATGTGGATGAATGCTACGGCGAATGCAATGTGGGCCCAACCACGCACGCACGCACACAGAGGCATGCATATGCATGTACACAAGCATGCACGCACACACATTCGCACACACGCACGCACGCACGCACGCACGCACGCACACACACACACACACACACGCGCGCACTCATGCACGCCCGCACACACGCACAGGCGCATACGCATACATATTCCATTAGAGACATTTAACGAAGTGTCTTTCCCATCACTGCATGTGGCCATTACAGTGCACTGGTAACAACACACCATACCGACTTTCAGCAACACAAAAATCTAAGTAGCTATTCAAACTATTTTAACTTCGCCGCTCACATTGCAAGTCCAGTTTATAAGCAATGACTAATTAATCTATCATTAATATTGCTGTAGCATTCTCATCGTTACCTGCTCTCTGAACGCATCCAGGCGGTATGAAGTCCGGATGGTCCCACTTCGTGTGATACACATATCCATTGCTTATATAGGCAATGTCAATTCCTAAATAAAGGCAACATAGTAGCACATAAGCTACGTTTTTAACAGTTACACGGCATCGTACCATTAAGTCGCCTGGTCAACGACTGAATCAAATCCAGTAGCAAAATATAAACTGATTATTGTGCATACAAAATAAAAAAAATTTAAGTCATAAATCATAATAGTGAAATCATGAATACTTCAAATTAATAAAATATATCGTGGCTGAACATTAGCACATGCCGTCTCTACCATAGAAGGCACTGGGCAATGCTTCTATCTGCAGCATCACAGCGCATGTCTGTGTAGTCACTAGCAGCAACATGGCTTCAATAGTAGTCACAATTGCTATTTGAGAATTACGCGTAACTGTGCAGGGGAAGTTTCACACCAAGTTTGCAGTTTCACAAGGGAAGTTTGCAGGGGAAGCGCACCTGGAATGTTTCCAAAATCTCGATAAATGCGGAAGTCCGTGTCTGACGGAATAGCACCAGTCTGAAATATCTCCTGTCCAAAGACATTGCCGTAGGGATAGACTGCCGACCGTGCGTACGTGCTGATGAGCCACGGATGTTCTGGGCCTGCAGAAAGAGAGGTGTAGACCGTCTACTTTCAACATATTTATAGTTATACGATGGCTAAGGTACATGTAAACACGAGTGGCCAGTGCCATTAGTTTCTGCTTACACACACTGTTAGCAGGCAAATATCAAAGGCTTGAATGTTGCTCCCGCAGTATCAGCACGATTCGTGACTTCGATGCTTCTTAGACGCAGCAAAGCAATTTCTTAACCAATCCATTTAGGGGTATAGATAGGGTTCATGTTTATAAATCAACATTTACCTTTGTCCGCTATACGTCTTCGTACCTGAATTGGCACGCACTAGGTTTTAAGTTGCTGGCCTGGACTTCATTGACGCTTACGCATGACAGACAATTACACACACATATATATATAGAAGTAAAGTCACACACGAACACTTAATTACCTCGGTGTTTTCTAAACCAACTGACACTAATTCTTATCTAATGTATTCCTCTTCTCAGCCTCTCGGCCACCGACTTAAAAATATGCTCTCACATCTCTCAATTTTGACGTCAGAAAAAAGGACTGCATGGCTCAAAAACTGATTTTATACAGCAGAAGGGCTTCAATATGATTGTCAATGTTCTTTACACGCCGTGGCGTACTAGACACAATTCCTGATCTCTATCTGAAGAGAATTAAAAAGATACTTCCTCTAAATCGGGCGTCTGTTTAATAACCCCTAGAATAGACGGCGTGAAATAAGACCAATCAGACATGTCCACTCGTGGCTTTAACCTAATCACCCGCTTGGCAATCCTGCACATCAAAAGTTTGTTAATTGATAATTACTAAAATTCTTGACAAACGATCCAATCACCGCTAACACTGTTTCAAGCCTACCTTTATGCTGCGTAGCAGACGTGATACAAACCGTCCGCGACACTCTTTGTTTTCAATGGCACGTCTTACAACTCTGACAACCGCGTGAGCCCACCTTGGTCTCATACCGTGTTGTTAGAAACGTATGCAGTACTTGCAATTTTTACGAATAGATGGTTGTGGTTCAAGGGTTCGGGGCAAATTTATAGTACGGGATTCATTTAACATGCCGTGTCGGACGAACCTTCATTTACTGCCATTGAATGGCGCTAAATGCCAAATTTACTATATTGGCGAAACAAAACGCCGCCTTGCGGATAGGTTTTGTTGAACACGCTCAAAGATCTATTCGCCTCCAATTTCCATGTTTTTCGGTATTGCTGACGCATTTTAACGCAACGCGGCATCCCCACAGTGATGACGTGCGTGTTGTGTGGCCTGCCAACTGACATCCATATTACAATAGCTGCACGTGACACATGACTGAGCAGAAATTTAAGGGTCTTGGTTGTTTAAATCCAGGGGGCATGAACGTAGGGGGCATGAAAAGTGCTGATTTTGATGAGTTTTCGCTTGCTTCTGGTTGTGTGTTTGTGTGTGTGTGTCGTTGTGTGTGTGTGTGTGCGCGTGTGTGTGTTTGTGTGCGGACAGGGTGGACGAAGTGTGTGTGTGTGTGTGTGTGTGTGTGTTTGTGTGTGTGTGTGTGTGTGTGTGTTTGTGTGTGTGTGTGTCTCTCTCTCTGTGTGTTTTTGTGCGTGTGTATAGTATATATAATATATATATGTGCGTGTTCTTTTGTCGTCGTATTCATGGCAATGTGCGAATTGTGTTGAATCATTCATTTTTTGCGTTTATTCTAATAAGTATAACGCATTGTATTGTTTTTGATTATTTTGATTCTATTCAATGTGTACTGACCTGATGAAGAGATGTAATCTTGAAAGCTGCGTCAATTAACTAATTAAACACCCTTATTTCTATGACGCTTGACTTTGTTTTTATATAATATATATACTATATACTATATATATATATACATATAATATATACAATAATATATATTCATGCTCCATCTGTCTATAAAACACAAGTAGGCGTTTCATAAAACACACGGGTTAATCAGGGCGTGACTACATGACAAATCTGTCGATATTATTTCAAAATTTGTCATTATTAACCTTTGATATTTATGCAGGAGCTGTATAATAAATAGATCTATTTACTAAATCTATAATCAATCTATTATGACATATACTCTTTAGTTGCTATATTATCCATCCTTATAGTGTTGTTACACAGGTGCGGTACTAAATATAAGAGACGGTTAGCCTGTCTGAAACACGAAGTGTCACGTCCCCCTGCTGCCTGCTGCCTCCAGGTTAACGAACGCACGCACCCATGCCTTCGCCAGGGATGCTGGGTGACACTGACAACCATGACTGGCGCTGAAAGGATGGAGGCACAAATGCATCAACAGACATTAATAAAGCACCCCAAAAGGATTTTTTCTACTTGAATTAAATCATCAGTGTAACGGATTCGGCATTAATAGACATCTATTAGCAATGATATATGAACCAGTGTAAATCATTGTCTATTATTTAGCTCCTGCATATGACGCGTAGCACGAGTACTTTTCTGTTTAAACCACGCATGAATTTGTGACAAATGCTATTCCCCTCCCTCTATTTTTACCCCAACCTGGCCTCTTCTCTACCTCCTCCTCGCATCCTCCTCATGCCTCCATCTGCCTCCTCCTATCATAAGTACATATGGGGTTTAGTAGCACAGATGAGCTGAGATGGACATAAATTAAAATAGATTCTGATCTACGATTTGACAGTTAAATGGTGGCTATCCTGACACAATACAATTTTATAAATCAATTCCACTTCGTCCATTCTTGCAATTAACATTCTTTAATAGAGTTAATTTGTGGGCAGACCGCTTGGGCTGCGTGGCAGATGCTTCTAATTATGCACGGCACACGCTCACTCACCACGGATTATCACAGTTTTTAATGAGAGGATGGCCGCACCTGCCGACAGTGATGCAGAGTGGATGAGAAATGAAACCTATAACTATTGTTATTTATACTAGACTTTTGGCAAGATAAGGATGGTAGTATTTTCATGCTTTTGATCGAAACAATGCACATTCAACTGATTATGGCTCTCTAGCTCGCTGTAGCTATAGACAGGCTGAGGGCGCGGTGGAAGAAGCAACCACTGGCATGGGCAGATTGCCGGGGCTTTGAGCGCTTCCATAAAGGGTGAATAACTTCCACCCACTTCCCAGGGAAAAATGCTGCCGGGTGATGCTGTCACTTAAACAGCTGCTAATACTCAGACACGACACCACAGAAGCGGAGTGCGCTGATTTCTGTAAGTCTCCGTTAAAAAGCGAGCAAAGTGTTTAATTAAAAACTGACAGACAACAGCGCTTGCATTCAGCAGCATCGGCTTCGCCAGCAAGCAAGCGGACGGCAAAACGTTTGTGAAGGCAGCGGCCACGCGATACGCATGCATGCAGGCAACGCACTGATTTGACGAGAGCACAATGATTTTTTTATCAGCAGAGCTGGTTAAATTCGCCACGGACCATGGGCCACCCATGCTCCAGGCTCCGCTGCTGTTGTCCGACTGTTCGCCAATGCAGCACCGACACATTCACAGCCCTGGCACCTACGCATGCACGCACCCTACACACGCACGCACAACCTCATGCATACACACACACGGCACGCAGCGCACGCCACCGCACGCACGCACGGCACGCAAGACCGCCCCCCCCCAAAAAACGCACAGCGGACCAGCTGACACACCACACACACACACACGTAGCACACCACGTACAAACACAACAGCGAACGCCTCCGACAACATGCACACACCGGCACACTCACGCCGCCTGCACGCACGACACGAGCGACGCGCACACGTCGATATAACAGCACTCGAACTGGCACGAACACTCCGACGCACGCACGCACCGCACATTTACACAGACACTGGTAGCGCGACATGCCAGACGGGCGCGATATATAGCTGTTTGAACATAGACATGGCAACTGCAGTCAGTCAGCCTCAAGTACCGACGGAACGATAACGTGGTTTAACATAGATTTTACAGCATAGGAACACGTTCTGCTTAAGAAAGAAAGAGGTAGCCTGGCACCCAAGGGTTCTGTGTGGCCACATACACACAAGATAAGGCATACTGGGTCGCATGTATTTTCCAATAAAGGTCATGAAGGAATGGCGCCCAGCAAGTAGACCACATTATATCCAGGGCCGTAGTGGCCGCCATGCCGTGGCACTATTTTTTTGAAAAAACAAAATTCTGCAGGAAACCCAAGGAGCCAACATATACGCGAAGGAGATCACCCACCATTATGGTAGGTATGTTCAACTGCGCAAGCTCAAAATGGGGGGGGGGGCTCTGGAACTAACCTCAGACCTGAAAATGGGGTTATCTGGAACCTAATGTTTGTTGAATGTGGTATGCTCTGGAACTTGGGCTATGTTCGGGGAAAATGGGGGTCTCCGGACTAGATTTCGTTGACATTCAATGCTATCGGAACACTGGACACGTTAAAGAGAGGGGGGTTCTCCCGAACTGGGGGGACACATGATCTTGCTTTAAAAACTATGCTGTAGCACTTGAACGCAAATAATAATTTATTGTTGTATTATGTTAGAGGAGGAGAAAAAAACATGAACCCGGAGAGAGATGAACGCACGCACACGCACGCACACGCACGCCACGCACGCACGCACAATCACACACACACACCACAAGCCCCGCACACAGCCACGCACGCACGCACGCACGCACACATACCACGCACCACACACACACAACACAACACACACACACACATACACACATACACTACACACACAACACACACACCAACACACAAACACACGTTGCATGCATGCGCTTGACGGCCCGGCTTCCAAACGTATTCTGAAGTACGAATGCACTGGAGCAGAAATTATATTAAAACACCTAGGGTCTGCCGAACGACAAATTGTAAAGATCTGACATGGTAACTAAACTTAATGGCATGCTCTGGAACGAGATACTTCTTAAAAATGCGAGTGCACTGAAAATGGAAGTTTTACGGGTTAAGGGTTGAAATGGGGTCTCCTCCCGCAGGGGCACATACCTACCATGCAATGATATATGGAGTGCCCCCCCGCCCCCCGGACCCCGCAGCACGACCCAGTTAAGGCTCAACACATGGCAATGGTCAGCATGTGCACCGAGAAATGTTAGACAAAGGTAGATGAAGCATGAATGTAATTTCAGGAATTTGTAAATTGGCCATGCCAGGCAGAAAAAGATAAAATTGGAATTATAAAAAGATAAAATGACAAAGATTTCTGACTGGATGTGACCTGGTTTTTTTTTTGGGGTTATATTATATACTGATCAATTAGAGGTGTTATATCGCGTGCTTTAAGTATTTGGACATGTGTATTTAATATGACAATGGTGCCCTAATTCAATTCAAACTTCAAACATACAGATGTACAGAGTGTAAAGTAATAAATGCAGGATTGAAAATAGGCTTATTGTTTTATCATTATGTACTGACAGTATATTACAATTTTTGTAAATGAATGTTTTATTAGCTTATCAACAGTCTTATAATATATATTTTAGATACTTTAGTCAAAACACTCAGCTTTAGCTAATTTCGCTCTTTGAAATTTACAAATTAACGTTTTAAAATGAATCAGAATTGTTCTGCTTCACACATAGCCCTGAAAATGCACGAAATGCCATTTCCAGGCTCTACATTTCAAAAATTTTCTGGGGAGTAGCCCCCAGCCCCCCCCCGCCCACGCAATCAGCTAGCATATTTCTGCAGCTGCCCTTTGCTGGGAGGCCACCTACGGCCCTGTAGTATTACTATATTGCCTATTCTGTGGTCAACGTGCACGCATCACGCTCATTCAATCCTTTAGCTTACGAACAGCTTGATAGGAACTTGAAGGGGTCAATTCTTGTATCTATTCAAAATCGTATTAAGAGTAAAGTAGAAATAATAATTACTAATTAAATATTATCAGAAGATAATAGATAAAAGTAGATAATATGGGATCTCTATTATATTAACCTTCTGATATTATGTTTAGCATGAATATTCAGAAATTGCTATTAATATATTATATTGATGGGTACAGACACAACAGTGCTCAGGTGGTCCGAGCGATGCCTCAACTACATATAGTGCAATAATAATAAGGTGGCAATAATGGGTACATTAATAATCGGTGCAATAAATGGGTACAATTAATAATAGGTGCAATAATGAGTACAATTAATAAATAGGTGCAATAATAGGTACAATTAACAAGTGCCGCAGTGGCGACCAGGGCTCATCTGGTGGCTGGTTTTCTGCTGACTAAATTATTTGGTTTTTGGGGGGCATATAGGCAACATAGCAAGACGTCTTATGACATGAAGTCTCTTTATTCTTGTTTGACTTTCGTAGCGCAAGTTCAAACAATATTCAGCTACACTTTCGCACCCCACCTACAGTCTCTATGGCGCTAATTCTAAATACGAAGGAAATAATAAGCAAGTTCAAAATACAAGTTAATGATGACATTGAAGCAATTGCTGTTCATTGCATGGTTGTATTTATTGGGGAACGGGGGTCCTTCTCTCCCATCTCCCTCGCCCACTGCGTCCCACTCCCTGCCCTCGCTGCCTCCACACTTCCACACTCTCCTTGCCTGCTGCACTTCCCTCCCGATTACCGTCCGCACTGCTCCCTCCCCCCTTTATTCGACCTCCCCTCCCCCTGCCGTCCGCACCTCCTTGCACACCAATCTCGCAATCGACCTAAATTGTACTCGTTTCCCGCTCGCAATACACAGGCACCGTACTCACCCGTTTCCGCTGGGGCGCCCATGCTCCAATTACTCTCTCTCTCTCTCTCTCTCTCTCTCTTAATTATATAAATAAAATAAAAAACCAGCGATGATGCCTTTTACTGCCCTCTCAATAATACTTCGCTCCTATGCCCCTGAGTGTAACAGCCATAGAAATAATAATATATAGTGTCTCTAATATTTCTATGGTAACAGCTTATGTTCGCATAACTGGTAAATGGATACGCACGGCCATACCTACATGATATATGTTAAGATTCAAGATAAAAAGTAAATATATATTATATGGTACTTGTTATTATTTATTCGTTTAACAAAGTTACATGAGAATAAAATCTAATTTAAACTAGGCCTATAGTTGCCGCGAGATGGCGCGTGCAAGTGTAATCAATAATCAAAGATGGCATAACTAGCTACCTAGGGAGTTGCTGAAATCCTACAGGCTAAAATCCAAGTAAGTATATTCAGGCAGGGGATAATTTCGCTCAGCTGTGAGTTAACACATGTGCATTGCAGGTTGGCAGGCAACAATTATGATTAGAAGAGTGCCAGCCATGGGCTGCCCCGTGTTTTTGCCTACCCACGCGAGCATTCACTGATTCAGCCTTCAAGTTCAGGTAGCCACAAGTTCCCTTCTCGCTTAACACTATACGTGGCGAGAGGCGTAGAGTGTCCTCCGCCGTGTAACAGTCGGAGAGCCTGGTCGGATTAGCCTTCAGGGTGCTATAGACAGACTGCTTTAGAAAATAATATGATTTAAGGAGCATAAACCTTGTTCAACAAACATTTGCCTTTGCAATTAAACTGTGCAACTGTAGCCTCACATTCACACAGGTATGGGCTCTAATAATAGCAAAAGCAGTTCAGTCCTTTGTTAACAGTCAACAAATCAATTTTTAACCCTCCTCTTGAGGGTCAAAAGGTTATCCGACGCTTACTTTTCGCATGTCAGCAAAAAGTACATTTCATGGTCCTTTCAATAAAGCCATAAAAATGGTAGGTCACCACTGAAACAAAAAAGTTTTTCAATCGCTCCGTCAGACCATGTCCTCCGAAAATGTCTAAAATCTGCCCTAGCTGTGCCCCATTGACCTTTGGTCTGTGACCTCCAATTTCGGCACAGTGATGGCTTTTCCTACCATGATGCTATACACCGACTATCAAGAGCCTAGGTCGAGTCGTTTAGATTTGTGCCGCAATTCTGAATTTCCTCCCTATACCTTAAGTTAAGGAGGGAATGTTCCCCCTTCTTTTACACCTCGTGACCTTTGACCTTTGACCCCCAGCTTCGACATCCCAACTCGTTTTCGGATTACCCCCCACGTCCCGAATATCGTGACCGTACGTCGAGCCGTTAAGATTTGTGCCCAACTGTTGACGCACGGACGGACGGCCTAACGCACGCTCATGCGATTCTACTAGCTGCATCTGACTATGTCAGATGAGCTAATAATAGATGCAATAATATGTACAATTAATAATAGGTGCAATAATAGGTACAAGTAATAATAGGTTCAATAATAGGTACAATTAATAATAGGTGCAATAATAGGTACAAGTAATAATAGGTTCAATAATAGGTACAATTAATAATAGGTGCAATTAATAATAGGTACAATTAACAA